AAAAAAAAATTAATAACACCAATTGTATCAAAATCAAATGAATATTGTCAAAATTCATCTTGATTTTATAAATCAATGAAATCTAATAATCAACAGCAAAAATCAAGTTTTTCTCGAGCACCGATTTTATTTTATAATTAGTTTTTTTACAAAAAAACAAACTACGGTGTGGGTGTCTCAGTGACATCCACACCCACACCCCACATTTTAATTGAATACCAGAAAAAGCTATAAACTCATAATGATACCAGAATCGGAATGAATTCGCAAGCATATTGGAAAACCAGAAACTTTGAAAGCAATCAAAAAAAACATCCCCCAATTGGATTTTTTTACAATATCGGTATTTCTGGCATTTCTTAACAGATCTCGTTACGACTACATTGTGTTCAAAGTTATGTTATACTCCTATGACGTCTATATACATGTTATTTCCCCATTACAATATATTGGCTTATGCGTTGCACCAATAATTTTTTTTCTGATCTACAATGTGTGAAACAATGGAATGATCCGTGATCTGGTGAATCGAAGTTAAAATTGTAACTTCGATTCACCAGACCACAGATCAGAAAATATTCTTATTCGAAGGCAACAACAGCTTCAAATTATTTATTTTAGTTTGTACAAATAAGAAAAGATCTTTTTTTTTCAATAAACAAATATTTAGGTATGCATATGTTGATATACGAAAATAATAGTTTATTAAAAGATAAATTTATAAGCGGTATGTATCAAACATTTGTCAAACAATTTAGTATAATATTTAACAGGGTAAAACTAATTTTTATTTAATATAGGAAGACGAACAGACTTCGCAAGTTCGTTTATCAATTAAAGGACAAAAACAACTTGCTGATAAACGTGTTAAACGGAGAACTACTTTTAAGCGAATACAACGTTCAGCTAAAATGGAAATAATTAAATATTCATTTAAGGTAGTGATGCACCAATTCCTGACTTTTGACATTAAACATCGCTTACCTTCGATACTTAGAACTGTCAATGTCGACCGATTCTTCAAATCATGCTGATTCAATTTTAATAGTTCTATCTGATTTCACTGTTAGATTTGATAAAAAAACAATTGAAAGCTACACGAATTGATCTAGATTGATCAAAAATTCATGATTTTTAGCCGATGCTGGCCAATTCTTCTATCTTTTATTCGTTTTTTGACGAATGCAACGCGACAACATCAGATAGAACAATCAAATTTGAATCGACATAACTCGAAGAATCGGTCGAAATTGACAGTACTAAGTATTGAAAATAAGCTATGTTTAGTGTCAAAAATCAGGAATCGATGCTTCCATAATTTGAGCTTTTATTTTTGTTTAAGGGGACCCCCGCCCCTTTCCCGACTCAAAATTTTCACATTTTTCATTTTTCATTTTTTGTGATTAGTATATAGATTTGAATGCCCTCTATCCATTGAGTACATTTTGAGAACTGAAAAACCACATCTTATATATAAAAAATTCGAAAAAAATCACAAAATATGCTGAAAAAACCGAAAAAACACAAATTTCTTTGCGTTTTTCTCAAAATCAGTTTTTTCAGCAAAAAAATGAAGTTTTCCCCCTTTTTCTCCGCCATTTCAAGTCCGATCGGGCTGAAAATTGTTTTGGTGAGACTTCAAGTGATTTGGGTTGGGCGTTTTTTTTTTTTTTTGGATACCTTCTACCAATCAAGTTTGGCAGGCTTCGCAAAATTTTTAGGATCCAAAAAACCTAGAGATTTTGCAAGGTGCTCAGTATTTTGGTTCTCCAGCCTGAAGTATTTGGAATTTTTAAAAAAAAAAAAAAACGCCCACCCCGATTGAGTCCGTTTACCCACAGCAAAAATTTCAGCTCAAACGGATGAAATTTGTGGATTTGCGGGGGGGGAAACTTTTTGCAAGTTTTTGACCTTGGGGTCTCTGGAAGTCCACGAAGATGACGTCTGGCAAATTTGTGTCTATGACAACTTTTGCTCTACTACTCGAGGTCTATCTACCCTGCAAGTTTCAGGAATTTTCGTTCGGCCGTTTCTTAAAAACGCCGGAAAGGGGGGGGGGGTCCCCTTAAATGGAGATATATATGAACAAATAGATTACGCAAGTTTTTAAAATTATTTGATGGTGATGGTTCAATATATCAAATTTAATCTCTTAATATTGATCCAAGTTCACTCTCATTAGAATCCCGAAATTATAATACAATGAATCATTCTGAACAAAATTAAAATATTCAACATAAGCACTTGCTAATTATGAAAAAAACAAAGTTATTCTAAAATAAGTTTTTCTTGTATTTGTTAGAGTACAAAATTATGTTTTCTCTTTGTGTGTGAAACAACAAAATGTGAAGAATATCGAATTATATTCAACTATGGTGATGATCTTCGACAAGATCATCTTACAACTTATTACTTTGATGAATCTAGTAAGATACTATAATTAATTAAATAGTTCATACGGAAACCTTTCTAGACCACAAAAAGCTTTTGAGATGAGACTTGTGCCATCAGACATAGTCTATTGACAAGAAAACATCTTCCGATGTCGCACTGGTCTCGACTTCAAGTTGTGACTATGAGTACATCCCTGTGAAACTGAGCAAAAGCTTGACAGAATTCAGGATGAACTTAGAAAGGTTTAGTATAAAATCTAATTTTTCAGAGTGTAAGACGATCATTTCAAGAGAGAAAGAGCGGAACCTGGATACTCATCGATTTCTATGAAACATGCTGAATATGTGAATGCGACAGTCTATAAATGTTGGTATTCATTAAAATGGACAGATAGCTATTTTGATACTTGATTCAATCTATATATATGAAAGACATTCTTCATTCAAAATTTTGACTGATAGCTTAATCTATTTGTATGTTTTGTAGATAATACTGTCAGATGTGGCTGAAGGTAGTATTGACATTGATTCAGGTGTTCGTGAAGTTAATGTTTATGTTGATCAAGGTGCTCATGAAATTCATGCTAATGCTAATCAAAGTGTAAATTCACGACGACCATATCATTTTATAATACCTCGCAATTGGACTAGTCGAAAAGTGTGAATTATAAGTGTAGTTTGCAAGATAGTCGAAATTTGGTGTGGGTGTGAATGTTTCCTTCTCTACTCTCACACCCATCTGCACCCACACTCCACACCCACACGTCGTCCCTAAGACACACCTGGGAACCTTCTCTTGTTAGATACGTGTTTTATCAAAGGTGACTATATTCAGAAAGCAAGCAGCCTTGAATTCAAGCAAATCGAAAAAATATGCTATTACTTTGATGGTGAAAATATAGCTCGGTAAACATGAATGGCATATTTTTTGTATTTTCGACTTCTAAAAGAAACTCCTAGAGTAATTCATATGAACTAAAATTCTCGTCTTTTTTCTGCGTAAATTCACTCGTTCATTTATGTCATTATCAAATTTTTTTTCTTTTTTTTTGTTTTTGTTCATGTAATTATATGAGACATGTATTTTTGTATTTGTTATATTAAAATATATCTTCACAAACCAAGAGAAAAAACTTTTTCATTTTTATTGAATAGAGAAGGATTTAAATCAAAATAATTAATCAAATAGAATAAATTTCTATTGAATCAAACTAAGATTACGTTGATTATATTTTCATATATGTTAAATAATATTCAATATTTTTTAACCATCAATCAATCAAATAAAAAAAGGTTTGTCTATTTCCAAATATAATTTTAATTCGCTTTCTTTTTTCATTTAATATTCAATTCAAACATTTATTGAACTTACAGAAGAGACAGTATCAATCAGCATTTAAAACAATTGTTCATCAACACGTTATTGATGGTTTTTTCTCATCAAGACTTTTATCATACATCTAAATTATTTTAATAAATTGTTCTGTATTTTTTTTTGTATAATATCGAAATAAATTGATTCAAAAAAATAATAAACTAGTAGATGGATCTAGAACAAGATCATTAGATAAAAATTGTTTCAAATAAAAAGCTAACTTCTTGACATGTTTGTGAAACTAAACATAACTTATACTGAAAAAGAGATTTTCATTTCTGTTTTAAAGATATTTATTTACTTAATCTTTCGAGGCGATGGAACCCATCGGTGGGTTCCACTATATTTTAACATCTCGCTCTTGTTTGAATCATTTATTGCATAGCTTGATGTTTATCATTAAAACAATTAAGACAAAAAAGTCTGTCACAATCAGAACAGAAAGTTTTCATTTTCTTTGCTGTCACATGGCTCGCTTCTCTTGATTGTTGTTATCTGATTTTCTCATAGCAGTCAGCACAGCGTCTTCGGACATTCTGTATAGATCCGTCCATTTTTTCTAGCTTGTGGTCAGCGAGTTTACGTTTCAAATTACTTGTTAGCTGTTGTCTCGAAGTAGGTTTCAGATTCTCGAACGACGCACTAAGGAGTAAAGATTGTACAAGACTTTCACGAAACTGTAGCCTGATCATATGACTTGTGTCATAATTTTCCTTGTTGATCACATAGACATTAACTATTGCCATTCGAAATATCAATTCAAATGCGACCTTTTGATACCATTTTATAGATCGTCTGAGGCATGTATAGTATGCTGAAAGCTGATCAGATAAATCTATACTTTGTTTTTCTGCATTGTAATCAAGTACAAGTTGATAGGTCTTATGATTGCATCTACAGGAGATGCAGATGATAAAAGAAAGAGTCAAAGATAATGCTGCGAAGAGAAAACGAAAGAAGACGGTTGAAGGTTTGTTTCTTTATCTTGTTTCTACTGCGTAATATACATGAGAGAAAGAGAAAAACAAACTTCAGTAGCTATCCAGTTCGACGTGAAACAGGACGACCAATGTGATGAACCAAACAAGAAAAAGGAAGACGAATAGCTGTTCATGTCAACCCGTATGCTATTGATGCGCGTACATATGCTTTGTGCACTCTGTGCGTGTTACGGTACATGTATGTTCGTGTACAATGTGTGTCCGTTTGTACGCCACGTGTTCCACTAACGATTCTTCATTATAGACGCTGGTAATATAACAATGGTTCAATAGACAAAGACCATTGTTAAAATATTAGAATGTGGGTGCAAGTATAACTGTTAGTGTGACTATCCGTCCGTAGGTGCACTGCGTGTCCACACCTACACCCACACCCACACCCACACACCCTTCCAACGTTATCATTGATTGCCAGGAAAATTTTTGCAATGCCGGTATCTAACACTATAGCTGAACGCCTTTTTTCATCTTCAAAACTTAGTATCGGTGAGCGTAGAACGAATTTAGGTGGTGAAAAGTTTAATCAACTCATGTTTCTTCAAAAAAAACTTAGTTCTATTGAAAGAGCTTCGTCAAGTCAATAAAGTACCAACAAAAAAATCTATTTCTGATCAAGGTTCAATGATGTCTGAACATTCAAGCGAAACAGTTGTCAAAAAGGCACGAAAAGATAATACACATTCATCAGATGACGAAGGTGGGAATATTGAATGGTGCTGATATTTTTTATAATGATCTATGGCGAAAGTTAATTTTGTACAAATGTTTTCTTTTGTTTTTATTGCTATTTCATGTGAATTGACTATTGAATTGATAGTTTCGTTTACTTGACTTTAGTATTATGAAAAATAAACATGTTATATAAGAAAAGAATAAAAACATTTTCGAAGCCTCTAAGATTTACATCCACTCCGACTCCGACTCCGTCGGAGTCGGAGTCGAATCGGGGTCTATTGCAGGTCTCTAGCCAACAGCAGATCCTCGAGGGTAGTCGATTAACTCTTTGAGCTCCATAGTAGCAAAAAAGCTACACATGTTTTATAATCATTTCTCACAATATAATTTATTAAAGTCAGTACCTACTACCTTGGAATGAAGTAATAAAGAATGCTCTAGAATTCTCTTCAACTATCTGTAAAAGAGATATATAGTCGTTTATATGTTTCTGTCTAAAACGAGCAAATCTAACAATCTTCTTGAATTGAATCCAGCAGAAACACTTTGGGACTCAAGGGGTTAACCCTTTATACCCTGAAGTGGTTCCAGAAGAGCCACTGATAAAATTACCATAAAAATAGAGTATTGGTCTCCCCAATATACCAATGGTATAGGCAGAGCGATCAGACGCACTACCTTTTGTGCAGGGGAATTTGATTACGACAGTGACCATTGAGATAGAGAAGGGAATGGAACAACTTTAAAAGCCCTACTTCTTTTCTTGTTTATGACGGTGTTAATTAGGCCAATGTGTCTTCTATTCCTTTCTATTAGACTCAAATCCAAAACGAAAAACTACGAATATAAAAAGCGATTTTTAAACACCACATGTATTTTTGACAGAGATTTTTTAAAAATACATATTTTTCTTTAAGTAATTATATCATCAATGAAGACATTTAATCGATGATATATATTTTTTTCGATTGCTACTCTGATAAGATTTACAAATAATATATTCATGGTATCCGCTATCTCTCTCTTTCTGTTCAATAGTCGTTTCAGGATCCATCTGGTATCTTACCATTTCGTATCTGCCAAGCCATTGTGAAATTTTTGAAACGCATTTAGTTAAATAGTAGACACTTTTATCGATATATACGACACAACGCAGCCTCGAAATCTTTATTGCGTGTGAGTGAAAAACCGTTTTGTTTTTAAAATTTTGTTATTTTTAAATTCTTTCAAAATCGATAATTTTGAAAGCTATATATCTCGGAGATAGAGTAACGAAACAAAATATTTTTTTTACCAATCGATAGCTTATGGAGTTCTGTAACAATATTGTTTTGGGAGTTTTCAATACCATACTTCCTGTATTTTCTGCAAAACTTTGTATGAATGGGTCAAAAATGACTCAACAGGGTATAAAGGGTTAACCTATTTTAATTAGGAAGATCGACACATTCTCGATCTATAGCTTTCTTTTTAACATTCGCAAAAAAAACGTAAATTTTTCTCCAAGGTAAATAATCCAATATTCAAAGTTGAACAGTTGAAAACAAGTTAATATAGGATCCTCAAAGAGGAATTCATTTGTCTCTACTGTGTGCCAGCCAATCGAGCTGACTTTCTGTCCGATACTAGTGTAATATTCCAAGTTTTTACTCGCAAAGATAAAGTTTACGAACGATATTGAAAACAATTCCTATTGACTTCAAAACCGAATTCAAACCTATTCTCACTATAGAAAACAAATATGTAACGTTTTTCTTTATTTACTTAGTTCAACTTTTTTTTCATAATCTTCCACTGTAAACTATCCAAACTTCTCACACTTTTCATAAAAATCCTGTTTCCAAGATTTTTCCAAAAAAACCCAGTCAATGAAACATTTCCACTATGCCATTTGTTTCCAGCACAACGAAAACATTGATAATTGATGATTTACAAGACGTGAACAATTTCATAGTCTTCGTACTTATGCAGCTTTACACTGTTACACTGCTTTTTATAAGTAAATATTTAAATAAGTGTTTTTAAAGCAAGAGTTGAAGACTTCCACGATTTCCAATTAGGAATTGCGAAAAAGCATCTAAATTGAAGTAGCGAAAAATCAAGTTGCCTATTTTTCCCTATCCTGCAAAAGCCTTAAATCCGGAATGGAACTCAATAGTAATTATTTTCAATATCACTCGTGAATTTTATCTTCATGAGTAAAAATTTAGATGTATCCTCTAGTATCACAAAAAATATCAGCTGTGTTCCGTAAAGTGCAGTACAGATAACCGGTTTCCTTTTTGATAGCTTATTTCTGCAACATCCTGTACAGACGAATCCAAACAAAGGTAAAATTTTCAACCAACAAAATACAGGTAGGTTTTGATAGTATTTTCATAATACTCAAGGTATGCTGATGGATATTGGTTTGGTTTTCA